GCTAGTCCACTCGCAGTGGAAGGATCTTCTTTGCGTGCCAAGTGACCCACACTTGTGTACGCGACTTCTTGGTGAGTTCCACGACGCTCCCGCCGCCGGACACTTTGGAGTCAATCGTATGATTGGCCGACTTCGCGAGCGTTTTTGGTGGCCCGGCCTTCTTGGCGACATCCACGCTATTGCGAGTCGTGCGAGGTTTGGTACCGTTGCAAATCCCGCATTCATCATCTGTTCGACGAGTTGCGACCATTACCGGTCCCCCTAGGACGGCGGGAATCGATTGTCATGGACATCACCCGACCGTTCCCCAAGCACAAGACCAGTGTGGATAGGGGGGGGGTACATGCTGAGTCTGCACACTGGCCCCATTTTGGGGGCCCACCGGCCGCACGCCCCTCATAAGCGGGCTCTGGAGGCCCATGACCAGCCTTAGGGCGGCAGGATTCGAGGCAGCATTCATTTATTTATTTGTTTGCTGTCATATTTTTGTCTGGTCACGCGTCGTTTCGGACTTGCAGTTCATCCTAATGGACGAAGGCCATGTTTTTGGCCTGGTACGGACGTAGGCAGGCCCTGTTGGGCCAGGTCCATCTTTGTGCGATAGCGGACACTCCCTGCTGCATCAGCACGGAGGGCCTGGACGTCCGGTAGGGACCCTGGCAAGCCGTTTCTAGGCCTAGGACCATAGGCACACGGAGGCACACCCGCGAGGCCCAGCGCCACTTATAGCTGGCCGACGCCAGGGCAGACACACAATTCGAGTAACTCCCTTCTTGGGCGACATGCTGCTGGAGCAGCGTTACCGCGCTACGCTGGAGGTAGAGGTAGAGGTGTAGGTAGGGAGTGAGGCAAAGGCCATACCTGCAACGGCGAAGATCCTACCTGGGCACCATAGCTGGTCTTCGCGCCAACGCACCTGCAGCACAGAGGATACAAGCGGTGGCAGTTACCTGCAGGTGAGATAACGAGGAGACGACGTCTTCTTCTTCTTCTTCTCTCGCCCTCCCCGGAATGTGATTGGGAAAGAAGTCAAACTGGTCAATGAAAGCCATCCAACGGGTGATGGTACTATTCATCGTGTCTTGGGTCTTGTAGAAGTCCAACGGATTATTGTCCATTACCCATCGGAATCGACTTCGACAGAGAAGAAAAGGCCGCCACCGCTTAAGCGCGTGTACGAAGGCCAATAACTCCTTCGTGTCGTCAATAGAGTGCACGGCAGACACCCAAAGTACTCGAGCGGGTTCCAGTCCATGCCATTGTATTGCTCGAGGACGGCATCAATGCCATACCCAGACGCATCGGTAGTGACACGCGTCGGCAAAAGCGGGTCGTGGATGCGGAAAACCTCCACGGATAGCAAGGTGGCTTTAGGGGCCGAAAACGAAGCCCGCGCATCATAGTCGAAGTAGAGCGGCCGATCCTTGCATTAAAGCTTGGTCAAATTAGACACGATCTTCAAATAGCCTTTAATAAAGCGTTGATGGTAGTCGGATAGGCCAAGAAACAAACGGACATCCGTGACATTCTTCGGCTCCGACCACTCTTGGACAGCTTGAATTTTGTCCGATAACGGACTAATGCACTCCGATGTGACAAAGTGGCCCAAGTACTCCAACTCTTGCCATACAAATTCACACTTGTCGCGGTTGGCGTTGTACTTGGCGCGACGTGGCGTATCCAACACACATCGAAGGTGCTCGAGATGATCCTGGAAGGTCCGACTATAGACGAGAATGTCGTCCAAGTAGACCAGCACAAACCGGTCCAACATCACGTGAAACTCATTGGTCATCACCACTTGAAAGGTCATCGGGGCATTGGTGAGGCCAAAAGGCATGACAACCCACTCGTCGCCAAAATGCCCGTATTGCGTTTTAAATGCGGATTGTAGCGATCTTGCTAACGTATCGACATCTGATGATAGCCCGACTTCAAGTCCAACTTCGAAAAGCATGTCGAGTCGCCCAACCGTTCGAGAAGATCGTCGATACGAGGGAGAGGCCCCACATTCTTGACGGTTTGCGCATTGAGCTTGCGATAGTCAATGCATAAGCGAAGATCCTTGTTCTTCTTCCTTACGAAGAGAACTGGCGCACTGTAGGGTGAGCTACTAGGGCGGATCCAGCCCTTGTCCAACAAGTCATCGAGTTGCGCGCGGAGAACCGCGAGCTCATGCTATAGATGCATCCTTTCGATGGGACGACACCGGCGTCAAGAATGATCTAATGGGAGATCGCCCAATCCGGCACCACACCGGTAGGAGACTCGGAGACGTCGGCGAACTCGTCAAGCAATCGCACCAAGCGGGTGTCCAAAACAAGATCGCTGGTGAAGACTCGGCCATTGCGACGATTCTAAGAAAACATAGGCCGATCTTGTCGGTCCGCTCGTAAGCACAAGTAGCCCGAAAAGACTTGGTCGTCACAACTTGGCACCAAATTGAAGGGTGCGGAAGAGGAATGGTACACGACACCTCGGCGCCAAAGGTGTTGTGAAAGATAAGCGTCCACCGATGGAAGTTGACCTTGTGGTCCGCACTTGCGAGCCAAGGCATCCCCAAAATAATGTCGAAGTCCGTGTGTAAGACGTCAAATGTAACCGGCTCGTATTCATGAGGTGCGAAATAGACCGGCACAACTTCGATGTAGCGATCAAGAAGTTGCTGCATCCGACCGTCTGCCATCTTGATCGTCGTAGGATGTGGCTTCCTTCGAACCTGTGCGCCAAGGTCGGCCCTTTGTATAAAGGACTAGCTCATGAAATTGCGAGTCGCACCGCTATCCAGCAAAGCGCTGCCGGACGCTTGCCCAACTTGAAAGAGGACATAAAGGAGCGATGCATTGTTGTCAGCGTACCACTGTGTGCGAAACTCGGGGGCCACCTTGGTAATATATGCAAGGAGGTTTCCTACCGCAACTTCGTTATCCGTCAACAAAGTTGGTGGTGCATAGAAGGATAGGTATGCGTGGAGAGGGTGAATAGTGCTGCGAATTGCGGTCCCGGTAAGCGGTCCGCGGAAGGGAGAGGAAGCCATGCAAAATCCTCGGGTGACAACGGCTCCAAGACCTCTATGTTGAACTTGCATGCCGAATCCCTTGAAGAACCACTTGAAGACGATAACATGTCGCCGATTCCAAATGGAGAAGAAACTGCGTACACACCTTGTCCTTCAGCATGAGAACCCAGCGATGCAACGAGTCGGTCAGCATAGTACTTGAAAGAATAAAGAAGACTTACACGACTTCCACATGTGCATCGGAACTAAGGGAAGTCGCTCACGAAGCAACTGGTTCCGAGGGCGTCAAGAGTGCAGTCGTTTCACTCTCGGCTTTGCTCAATTTCTCGAGGGGACTTTCCCTTGTCCTTCGTGGGACAGCCGACGGTTTCGTGTGCGTCGCTGTTGCACCACAAGCAATAACGGTGTCTCGTTCGGATCTTGTAAACGCCCTATGAGAGACCGTAATGTAGCCAAGGGTCTTGAGCTGTTGTTCTGGACCCGGGAACTGAAGAGGTGTTTGCCTTCGATTTGCCACGTCCTCGACCTTTGGCGAAGCGGCCACTATCCCGGGCGGCTGCAAATCTTGCTCCCTCGTCAGATGAAGCAGCCTCGTTTGAAGAATCGGTCGGCATTGCTACTGCGACCACGACCACTTTCGGTTGATGCTGATCTTTGCCTAGGCCTACAGAGGACGAACGACCAACATTGCGAGCTTCCGTATTCGTAACTATAATCTGCGAGGCCTTGTTAAATAATTGTTGAGTTGTGGTAAGCGTCTCCGCCACTTGCATCAACGCATTTCGCAATGTCGGGCACGACCTCGTGATGGAGTAGTGTTTGATGCCCGTGAAGGCGATCGGCAAGTCGGGTGTGGATGCCAAGCGTTGGTACTTGGTGATCCAATACAGGCTTGGCAAGGCGTTCTGATGGAACTCATGCAATTTTTCCATCGTCGGAAGCTCGGGCGGGTTCCACTTGGAACCACTTGTGCTATGCTGCCTTGAGATCAGCCCAGGTGATCTTTGTGTGCAGCTCGGAGACAGTGACCTTGTGGGTGGACAGCATATTGTCAAGCGAACGCATTTTGCAATGTCGGGCACGACCTCGTGATGAAGTAGTGTTTGATGCCTGTGAAGGCGATCGACAAGTCGGGCGTGGATGCCAAGCGTTGGTACTCGGTGATCCAATACAGGCTTCGCAAGGCGTTCTGATGGAACATATGCAATTTTTCCATCGCCGGAAGCTCGGGCGGGTTCCACTTGGAACCGCTTGTGCTATGCTGCCTTGAGATCAGCCCAGGTGATCTTCGTGTGCAGCTCGAAGACAGTGACCTTGTGGGTGGACATCATATTGTCAAGCCAACGCATTTTGCAATGTCGGGCACGACCTCGTGATGAAGTAGTGTTTGATGCCCGTGAAGGCGATCGGCAAGTCGGGCTTGGATGCCAAGAGTTGGTACTCGGTGATCCAATACAGGCTTCGCAAGGCGTTCTGATGGAACTTATGCAATTTTTCCATCGTCGGAAGCTCGGGCGGGTTCCACTTGGAACCGCTTGTGCTATGATGCCTTGAGATCAGCCCAGCTGATCTTCGTGTGCAGCTCAGAGACAATAACCTTCTGGGTGGACAGCATATTGTCAAGCCAAGTTTGACACTCGCCCCCCAACCAGTGATATAAATAGGCATGCCGGTTGGGGTCGATGACTTTGTACAAGTCCAAACGTAGGTCAAATTGGCACCACCATGGAATAGGCTCGGTCTTCGCTGCATCGGAAAAGATCGGAATGCCATCAACTTTGGGTATGCACTCGTGAGATGGCAGGGCCGAACTGGCAGCTGCTGCGCAAATCTGCTGCTCCAACTGTTGGTCGGTTGTTTGCTATTGCCGTGTCGTGTCCTTCAGGGCGCCCATGTCCACCTCCAATCTGTTGACACGTTCCAGGATGTTGGAGGGGCCAACGACTGTTGCTGCAACAGGCCGCTGTTCCAAAGTGTGTACGCGACTGAGCAATACTGCACGTGCAGGTCCAATGTGAGGATCTCCTCTTGCTGGGCCATGCAAGCAGCCACCAAGTCCATGATTCACTTTATGACCGTGGAGAAACTGCATACGATCGCGGAGGCACCCTCCTCCTTGGCCAACGTGTCCCAGTTGGTGGCAAAGGTCAAGACTTTGGCCTCCTCCTCGAATAATGCATCCCAACGCGCTTGTCGTGCTTTGTCTGCAGCCTGTCGTGCTGCGTCGTCGTGCGCTTGCTGGTGTAGCTCAGCAAGGCGACATTGTTCCTCGACTTCCCTTTCTCTCTTCTCCCAAACGACAAGTGCCGCATCTGCTCTTTGCTTAAGCTCGAGCATCGTGTTGGCCAGCCTGGCCTCGTAGTCCTTGTCAAACTCATTGTCCTTGCGTTCCATCATGCTGGGCGCTGGTCGAAGGACAGAAGCCATGTGTGGACGGTGCTGATGCGGCACTGCTGACATGGCCTGCTGACATGTCATTGTTGACGTGTCACTGCTGACGTGGCCTGCTGACGTGGCCTGCTGACGTGTCATTGTGCTGATGTGGCAATGTAGCACTGCCGCCGCAGTAGAGAAGAGAAGGAAGGATAAGAAGAAGAACAACGGAGTAGACGGGGTGGGTGGGAGGGGAGAAGATGAGATTCTAACACTTCCCCACCCCCATGGGGTCACATTGATCGCCCAAATAAGGAGCCACTAATCAAAATTTGAAAAGGCAAAACTTTGCTGTTTTAAAAGAATTCAATAAAAATAATAACAAATTTGAAATTGGAAGTTCGGTAGGTCTCCCAATCCCAAAACCCTGATATTCAAATAATTACTAAGTGGGGATCCGGGCTGCCCGAGTGATCGGCAAGGGCCCGGGGGAGGTCCCCGGCGGCCTGGCCGGCAGGGCACCCGATCGGGGGTCGGGCCCCCCCAACGCAGTCACCTGTCAAGGGGTTTCTGACCCCCTTTTGGTTGGTATTGGCCTCCCGCAGGCCTACCGGATCCGACCAGCCCAAGAAACTGTCGCGTCGGGCTCGGTAGGCCTGCTTTTTTTTTTTAATTCGCGCCGACTCTGTTGGCGCCAACCTTCCCCCCCTTTCGAACCTTCGATCAGCTGGGGTGGTCTGCCACTCGCCCCCAGCACGATTAGAGTTGGTGCCGACCTGCTGCTGCACCGTCCTCCCGTGCCATCCTCCTTAGTCGTCGCCCGTCACCAGTCGCCCATCGCCATCGCGATCGACTGTCCTGCTGCTGCTGCTACGAGGAAGGCCCGACGACGAAGGCGCCGTTCTTCTTCTTCTTCTTCTTGTCGGAATCGTTTAGGGTTTGTGTAGGATGGGAGACAAAGGCCCTGCTGCTAGGGTTACTGTTGTAGGTAATGACGAAGGGCCCGACGAACTGCTTCTTCTTTTTCTTCTTCTTCTTCCTGTTCTCCTTATTCTTCTTTTCTTCATCCGCTTCCTCTTCTCTCCTCCTCATCCGCTCATATTGTTCTGCTTCCTCTCTCCTCCTCGTCCCCCTCTCATCTTCTTCTTCTTCTTCTTCTCTCCTCCTCCTCCGCTTCCTCCGCTCATCTTCTTCTTGTTCTTCTTCTCTTCTCCTCCTCTTCCTCCACTCATCTTCTTCTGCTTCTTCTTCTTCCTTCCTCCTCCTCCCCCTCATTTTCTTCTTCTTCTTCTTCTTGTCGGTTATTCGACAGGTCCTTTTCGTCATACCCTACCGCAGCCATACTTCTTCCTCTTCTTCTTCTTCTTCTTCTTCTTCTTCTTCTTCTTCTTCTTCTTCTTCTTCATTCGGTAGGTCACGTCAGATATGACAGGCCGTCCACCTACCCCCCCCTTCTCGGCTCATCTTCTTCTTCTTCTTCTTCTTCTTCTTCTTCTTCTTCTTCTTCTTCTTCTCTCCTCCTCCTCTCGTCTTCTTTGTCTTCCCCTCGTCCCCCTCCCGTTTTCATCTCCCTCCATAACTTTTCTTCTTCTTCTTCGTCTCCCCTTCTCCCCCACTCATTTTCTTTCGCCTCTTCTTCTTCTTCTTCTTCTTCTTCTAGTTCGTCGACATTCGGTAGGTCACGTGAGACACGACATGTTAAAAAAAAAAAAAAGAAACGAAGGTCGTCCTCCTCCGCCTCCTCCGCTCATCTTCTTCTTCTTCTCCTTCTTCTCTCCTCGTCGTGGTCTCGTCGTCTTCTTCTTCCTCTCCTCCCCCTCGAGTTTTCATCTTTCTCATCAACCTTTCTTGATCTTTTTCTTCTTCCCCTCCTCACCTCTCTTCTTCTTCTTCTTCTTCTTTTGCTCCATTCGCTAGGTCTTCTTCTCTCCTCTTCTTCTTCTCCCCCTCCTTCCCTACTCCCTGCCTTTCTCTATACCCTACCGCCACCGCCATACCCTACCGAAACCATACTTCTTTCGCATCTTCTTCTTCTTCTTCTTCTTCTTCTTCTTCTTCTTCTCTACTCCTCTTGTCTTCTTCGTCTTCCCCTAGTCCCCCTCGCGTTTTCATCTTCCTCCATAACCTTTCTTCTTCTTCTTCGTCTTCCCCTTCTCCCCCACTCGTTTTCTTTCTCCTCCCCTTCTTCTCTGTCTTCCTCTCCTTCTTCTTCTTCTTCATCTAGTTCGTCGACATTCGGTAGGTCACGTGAGACACGACAGGTTAAAAAAAATAAAAAGAATGAAGGTCGTCCTCCTCCCCCTCCTTCTCCGTTCACCTTCTTCTTCTTCTTCTCCTTCTTCTCTCCTCGTCGTCCTCTCGTCTTCTTCTTCTTCCTCTCCTCCCCCTCACGTTTTCATCTTTCTCCTGGACCTTTCTTGATCTTCTTCTTCTTCCCCTCCTCACCTCTCTTCTTCTTCTTCCACTTCTTCTTCTTCTTCTTCTTCTTCTTCTTCTTCTTCTTCTTCTGCTTTATTCGCTAGGTCTTCTCGTCTCCTCTTCTTCTTCTTCTTCCCCTCCATCATCCATCCTCCATCCATCCATCACTCCCTCCATCCCATTTCGCCATTCTCCATCCTCCATCATCCATCCCTCCCTCCCTCCATCCCATCTCGCCATCCTCCATCACGCATCATCGATCCATCAATGGATCACTACCTCCATCCCTCCCTCCCTCCCTCCCATCTCGCCATCCCTCCCCCCCTCCATCCATCCATCCATCTTCTTCTTCTTGGACGTTGTTAAGCAGTCTCCCTCCATCCCTCCATCCTCCCATCTCGTCATCCCTCCCCCCCTCCATCCATCCATCTATCCATCTTCATCTTCTTCTTCTTCTTCTTCTTCTTCTTGGACGTTGTTAGGCAGTCTCCCTCCATCCTCCCATCTCGCCATTCCTCCCCCCCTCCATCCATCCATCCATCCATCTTCTTCTTCTTCTAGTTCTTATTCACCGTTGGTTAGCAGCCTTCCTCCATCCCTCCATTCTCCCATCTCGCCATCCCTCCCAACCTCCCTCCGTCCATCCATCCATCTTCTTCTTCGTCAGAGCAGCAGGCAAAAAACATGCAGCAGACATCAGAGCAGCAGGCAACAAACATGCAGAGCCCCCAACCCAGTACACATCATATCACATACATTCATCATACAGGCAACATACATCTAGAGCCCCCAACCCCAAGACACCCCCCCAACCCCAGTATTCCCCGCCCAGTCCCCCCACCGCCCCCCCCAAAACCAAAA